CACATGCATTCTGTGTCCACTGAGTTTGGCATTGCCAGCCTCTCAGAACCCTTAAGGGACCTCTCTGATCCACTTGAACTTTACTGCTGCACTTTGAGTGCACTGGCACCTCTCATTGAAATACTGCTGCGAGGACAATTTGTGTGCAGGGTCAGTCATCCAGCTTATACTGGACCAGGCTTCATCCCAGGGCTCTGCACTTGCTCACTTAGCTCCCACTCAACTAGCACCTACCTGAATGCGCAATGCATCCTTGCCTTGCCTCTTATTGCAGTCACAGATGGGTCAGCAGTCGTCAGTCAAGGGGTGGATAGCTTGCTGTATGGCACATTGGAGGTGTGAGATTGATGTAACACTATGTAATTAGCAGTGTAAGGAACGAACACACTAACTTGAGCTGCAAGTAAACAGTCATGTCTCCAAGTTGAAGGAGTGGTCCTTGGTGAAGGTGCAGACACAATAAGACAATAGCAGCCTCCTAGAGAAGTCTGTGACCTTGGCCATGGTCATGTTTAGGTGTTTATGCCTCTGTAGTTTGGGTAGGAGGTCATGTTGACCAAACAGGGAGATGTACAGCATCACTCATTAGTCTGGGTTCCTCATGTCTGGGTCTGTCTGAATAGGTTGCCCAAGCAAATGGGGAGGTGTGAAGCCAATGGGTTCATGGGAAGAGCTACCAGGAAGGTGATTAGCATGTTTGGAGCCTCATCAAAACACAAAGGTGGAATTTGGAAATTACTTTCTGAGGACCATTCACTGTCACCTTCCATCGAACTGGAAATTGAAACTGCCCAATGGGAAAGAAAATGGCCACAACTACATCCAGAGTGGATGGAGTAAGTGCCTTGAGCTGCAAAACCTTAGGCACTTCAAGGGGCAACAACAATGCATGCTGACCCTTTCACTGCAGAGGATACTTACCTGTAGGCTCCCAATCCCTGGTAACCCTTATCCATAGAGTCTTATACTATGTTACACATCTCTCAAGACCAAACATTGCTGACCATTTCATGCAAGACCAACACCTTTAGTCACTGAGGCCAGTGTTTCCAAACTAATGTGTGTGCACCAGGCAAATGGTGCCTTGTTGCTTGAGAACTTCTAATTGTAAAGTTTGTGCTTCCAAAGTGTGGTGCAGGAGCTCCTCAATTCAAGCATTGCTCCATAGAACATCATGCACGTGAACTGATGTCTGACCTCACAGTGCAGCAGTTACAACAGGGACCCTACTGAGACATTGGCAAACAGATTCAGTGACGCTCTGAGCATGTTTTAACAGATGTTAGACTTTATTTGCAATGGTATTACACCCATTCCAGAAATGTGCCATCAAAAGGTTTTCTTTATTCTTTACCACTGACCATGTCTCGGTGTAGTCCCAGGTTCTGCAGCGAGAGTGGAGGTAGCCTGCCCTACAGTTCTCACCCCTTATACCCATGTAACTCTCTCTCAACCGCCAAATTCCCAAAGCCTCATCCCAAGTCATCTAATGCCTTCTGCCTATCCCCATGGCACCTTATATCCCCATGTCAACTTAATGCCTACTTTCACCTGCCATCCACTCCACTCCCCCGACCTACCATATCAACCTATCTAGCATCACCAGGATCTATGTGCACAGGATAAAAAGTAAAGTTCTATTAATTTGATTTCTATATTAAAGATTACATTGTATTGAGAAAAATGCCCTTATTCATAAGAAAATACTTTGATATGTTAACATATCATGATAATTTAGACAGTTTCAATGAGTGTACACACCTCTTACACACAATCTTCTTTACTGTTAACAATCCCAAAGAGCACCCACACTCTTAAAGGACCCTTCACCTATATGCCCCAAGTGTTACGGAAGCATATCAACAGGGAGCCCTCAGCTCTCCGAAGGGGTACCCTTGCTATCCCGAAGAAAGGAGCTGAGAACAGGGTCTTAATTTGGAATTAATCTCCACAGTCTAGATTCCACATTCCAGGGACTCTACAATCCGATTCCAGTGGAGGCTGTGGATCATTTAAATGGCCAGCTGCCTATAGGAACTGCTCATATGTGATAAACAGCTCCTTCCTAATCCCTCACTCTGTGTTAATGAAAAATGCTCAACTTAGAGGCAGAACTTTGGATTTCCAATATATGCTGCTACTTTTGCCACAACAGAGAGAGAGTCCCAGCATTTAAGTAAAAATCTGGGCCTGGGCCTGTATCTCAGAAGCACTTATACTTTTAACCAAAATTCCAAACAGAATTCCCCTTTTAAATTAATTTCTTTTTCTGTTATAGTTTCTTGATTGTCCAGTAACTTCTCTGAAATCAAAACAGTGTGGGAGGGATTTTCCTTTCTTGGTGTGGCGAGAATAATGATGAGTAATGTGACAAAATAGGGCGAGAATGGAACATAAAATCAGATTTCTAGCGTTTAGAAGAAGTCGTATAATTTTACTCTTAAAATTACAGCTTCAGAGTCTCACCCTTGATTGGGTGACTAGCTTAATTCCACGTGTTTACATGTCACCAATAGCCCATATGATTCTATTTACATCGGACTTCCAAATCCCCTGCACTGCAGTCAGAATCTACACAGCTTAAAAACCTGACAGACTGTGTAAAACCAAATGATTACCTGATGCTGCAGCTCACTGCCTGTGCTGGTCGTCATCCAACTACTTCTAACTAACATCCCTGCAAGGTCCTTGGACACCATTCGCCTCGACTCTGCATCCACACAACTTGGAGTTGGCTCTTAGACCAATTCTCACATCACTTCTGGCTTTTAGAACTCCCCTTTGGAGCACGGAGCAACCTACAATTTGCATGTTTCTGCCTGTTCGCTTGTCTGCAGTGACAGCCATACAGTTCATGCATCTGCATGGAATGTTTTTATGCTGACATTGATACATGCATCTTATGGTCCCTAACTTACTTTCTTAGCACTCACTGACTTTAGTGCTCACTTAGAGGCATTTGACCTTTGTTGGTGATGTTGCTTTCTTAGCGCATAGTTTCCTTAATGCTCAGTTATTGCTTGCTTTCGAGTGCAGATAAAGAGATAGGCAGCTTGTGACAGTGCATCGACTCAACAGTCAATGTACCAGTCAGACAGTGGGGGACATGCCACTGTTTGGCAACATGTTATGCTAACATCAGAGTTGCACAATATGCCAACAGCATATGTGGCAAACTCACTGCATGTGCTGCCAGCAAATGGTGATGTATGAAAGTCAAAAGAAAACAGTGCTTTGTGTGGTGAATGTGGACACACATGGGTACCACCACAGCCAGCCCAGGAGCTTTTTCAACTCCTGTCCAGGGGCTTGGCCATAGTCAATCATGCAGATCAAATGTATACAGCCCAAGGATTGCAGGGTCCTCAGTTGGGATTTAGACATCAGTCCTGGGGTTGGGCCAGTTTCTACTGCATTGAGACAAATGGAAGGACTGAGTGTAATGTAAGTAGATGCATGAGCATTTACTGGTTATACATTAGCAGGGTGAAGGTATGCTGTCCGAAGTGAGTGAATAGAAAATACAGAGGGAAAAAAGGGTTATTCGTTTGAGAAGGTGAGGTGGCTGAGATCCACTCAGTGGATATGCATTCAATGTGGAGGGTTATGGTCCATCAACTTGATGAGAGATCGTGCAGTGGCAGAGTTAGAGTGAATGCTGGCCCTGTGAGTGTCAAGTATCAGGGAGAAGTTGGTGGCATTTACGTTTATGGAATATTGAAGATCATTGACCTTCTTGTGGCACTGCAGGATGACTCCATCATCCTGCATTGACCTGTTCTTTATTTGCATGCAGACTGGCTGGGTCCACTTGCCTATCCAGCACCATCTCCAGATCTCTGTTTGTTAAGTGGGGAGTGAGCTTACCCTGCTTCTGGGTCATTTTTTGGCTAGTTAGCGTTGAGCAGCAAAGTGTGAGTTATCTTTTCTGGCTTTCATTGCAATTGCTGTGCATTGCTTGCATTGAGATTCCCCAAAGAAACATGCGCAACATCTTAGTTGCATAATTAATAAGGTGCAATGCAGAAGACCACATGCGAAAACACGCCCTGGGCCATCGTGGTATGGATGCCACGAAACTCACTTGTCACCACATTCTAATTTCAAAATGGAAAATCCAGCCCTATGTGCCTTAAATCCCAGAGATTCACTCTGATTCTGCTTAATTTCCCAGTGTAGCAATTACTTTCAGAACGCTCCCTGTGTAAATTTCATTGATGATCTCTTCCACTTAATTTCCTGGGTAGACCTGGCAGTGTTTGATTCTTAATGCTGAGTGTGAACCCAGTCACAATTCCTGTACTGAGTCCAGAACGACCCCTGGTTCCTGAGGATTTCTCTGCCCCTTGTCCTAACCACCACTTGATTGTCTCTCTGCCATCTCACAGGTGACTGCTGGACAGACTTCTCAATACAGCCGAGATTTATCAAAACAGAATAACTTTAGCCTCTCGAACCATCACCACGGCACAGTGACAAATATACACGGTCATCAGATAAAAATGCAAATGAATTATCTTTAATTTTAAAGCATTCATTTGAACCGAAAAGCATTTGGATATTTTAAAACTATCCTTCCCAGTGGCCTTCAAAACGCTTTTTGATCAGGGGGATTTATATAAATAATTTAAACTCTTTTGGTGTATATCTTAATTTCATGCCCTCTTCTGATATGCTTTAAAGGCAGAATATCTCCTCAAGTGAAATTTGGAGAGACCATGACTATCCTAGATCATATCTCTCACCACTATCCCAGCAACATCACACAGTACTTTCTCTATAAATCTGCAATTTCACGCCACCCTGAAAAGTTAGTCAAACCAAATTTTGTTTCATTTATCCCACAATTTTTGAATTAAAAATAATCTTGTAATATATGCATTTGTAACACATGGTTACTTAATGATCATTTTCTTTAATTTTAAATTGTCCTTTTTTTAACTTAATGATTTTAAATACTCTAACACCATTATTGCACTTTTTTTTTAATGTGATTTCAGATGGAGAATGTTTTTGGAAAATTCCCAGGATATCAGACAATTAATATCTTGGAGTTCAGGTTTGGAGTTCTAATGCTTCTCTTTTATGTGTTCCATCTTAAATGCTCTAAAAAATTAAGCGTAAAAATGTTATAGCAGTATTGCGATACACTTTGTAGGTGATGGGGCTGAATTTTGTTGGGGTGGAATGAGTGTTGAGCAGGGTAGGAATGATGTTGTGGAGCTGTGTTCTTGAACTGCTGCAGTCTGTGTGCTGAAGGTAGGCCCACAATGTTGCTTGGGAGGGCAATTCCAGGATTTTGACCTAGCAGAACAACAGTATATTTCCAAGTCAGGGTGGTGAATGGCTTGGAGGAGCACTTGCAGGTGGCACTGTTCCTATGTCTCTGCTTCCCTTGTCCTTCAAGACGGTAGTAGCCATGGGCTTGGAACATGCTGTCTCAGGATCGTCTTAGAATCCCTACACTGTGGAAACAGCCCCTCCGGCCCAACAAATCCACACTGACCCTCGGAGCATCCCACCCAGACCCATCCCCCTGTAACCCACCTAATCTACACATCTCTGAACACAATGGGCAATTTAGCAAGGCTAATCCACCTAGCCTGTACATCTTTGGACTGTGGGAGGAAACCGGAGCATCCGGAGGAAACCCACACAGACACGGGGAGACGGGGAGAATGTGCAAACTCCAGACAGTCACCCGAAGGTAGAATGGAACCTGGGACCCTGGCCCTGTGAGGCAGTAGTGCTAACCACTGAGCCACTGTGCTGCCCCAGGATCTTTGGCAGAATTCTGTAGTGCATCTTGTAGATAGTCCACACTGCTCCTTCTGAGTGTTGGTGGTGGAGGGAGTGAATAAACATCAATAAACAATCAAGCGTGTTGCTTTGTCCTCGATGTTATCAAGCTTTCTGAGTGTTGCTGGACCTGCACTCATTCAAGCAACTGGGGAATACTCCCCCAGATACAATGTTGTCCTGTGTTCTACACAGGTTGCAGTGTAGATATCACCGACTCCACCCTTAGAGCTAACAATCATTCAAATTATTTGATGTGATGAGAATTCTCCTCTTCTGTTCTCATATCACTGTTTATAAAAAACAAGAAAAGTTAAGCCTTGTTCAATTCAGTGTAATTATGCTGTGAGCAATGATCTGAGTAATAATTGTTGCTGAACAACAAATCTAGTTCTGAAAAAGTACTTGCATGTTTGTGCAGAATTTTTAAATGTTTTAGGAAAGAAATCTGCCATCTTAATCTAGTCTTGTCTACATGTGACTGGAGACCCACACTAATGTGGTCGACACTTAATTGCTCTCTGAAATGCACCAGCAAGTAGCGTTTAGGGATGAACAACAAAATCTTGCCTTGCCCTTATCCAATGAAAGAATAGAAAAATAGCCCACCACATGTTATGAGGGATGAGGTTTTTGCCACAAAGATTGTTAAATCCCTCAGCAAGGCATTCTTCAAAGCCAGCTGTGAATGCCCATATTTTGTGGCTAACAGCGAACTCTGTACCATTATAGTGGAGTGTTGTAATGGGCAAACTTCATATTTGTTTATGTCTTTTGTCTATACTTATTATCCAAGAATCACACAAGTAAAAGTGTATCGTATCTGCACTCACCTATGCAAGAATGAAAATGTTTTAAACTTTAAAACAATCTTTGGAAATTATTCAAGACATTTTGCTTTTATACATATTGAAATCTAATATCAATTTACTTGCCTTCTATTTTAGGGAGTATCCAAATTCAGACAGGTAAGGTGACTCAACTACAGCATTTTAAAGACTTTAGCAAGACTTATGATAAGTATACATATGCTTTATTTAAAATTAATTAAAATCCAATTAAAAGATCCTGACATTTTTATATGCTTAAAACAACAGTTCCTTTTGCTGTGTTTCCTATGTTTCTGTCAAACATTAGACTGTAAATTAGTTTTTATGCCTATCATCTGTTGCAACCGTAATTGTCATTAATTAAAATCCCAAATCTGCATTTTTCTCCCTAGGATAGTTGGCAGTTTCATGTTTGTTGGGACTAGAGTTTGATATGTGCTACCATTCGAACTAAAATTGGAGGTAGAATTACGTTTGTGTTAATACATTTAAAAGAGCTAACTAGACTTACCTGAATGTTCCAAACATCTCTGTGGTCTTCTGGAACAAGAAACATTGAGTGTCCTTTAGATTGCTTTTTTTTTCTTTCATCTCAACCTATAATTCTTTAGTGCAGACGAGGCAAATGTTGGGAGAATGTTTTCCTTCATGATTTTAAGGCAGCTAGCACATTACTGTGTCCATGGGCAGATGTATTGTACCAATTTCACACCTCCTTTCAGGTTTATAAAACCTCTGAATACTGTTTATGGATTGAATGTATGCAATCACAAGGTTGTGTAAAGCCTGGAAAAATCAACTACTTTGCTTCTGGGCTGACATAACGATTAATATAATTTTCAAAACTACATTTAAAACCTCATAAACTCTAGCTTTGTGATCTGTGTTAACTCAAGACAACTTCTTCATGTAGTTGAAAATAATTTTTTCCATCTGAATTCAAATCCATTTAATCTATTGTAGTGATTTTATGTTCTGTTAACACATGTTATTTCATGTGCAGCAGTAGTAATGTGGCGGTCCACTACTCTGTAACATTTGATGGAAATACACAAGCTTTACAGAACAAAACACGTAAGTTAGTTGATGTGAACCGCAAAAACATAGAAGATGATCTTTCCCTTGAAATGGAACATCAGCTGACAACTGCCTACACGATAATTGATTTCAAGAATCTAGTAGTTGAGGCCTTGCATAAGGAAAATCTAATTGGGAATGCATCACTGACTTTTAATCCAGAGACTCTTCAGCTCTTGAACGGTAAGCAATGAATAAACTTCAGAATTGAGAAATGTGTTGAAGATTAAAATCTGAACAGACAAGAAATAAGGAATTTAATTGTGTTTTCCTTTACAGAACAATCAACCAGTCTTGCGCTTGGAGGCATCATGTTTGACCCAGAAAATCAAGAAACTGGTAACTGCTTTTTGGTTTCTCTGTGTCTTTTTCTGTCAGCAAAATGTAGAATGACAAAATAAAGGAATTCCACACTCATCAATCACTTGCCAATGAGTACGATTGTCAACCTTTAACAACATTGAGTATTTATGATATAGGCTAGAATAGAGTAGATTGAATTTTGAATTATCTCTATATTAACCTGACATAGTGCCCCATCTCAAAATGAGTCCCTACGCAGTGACTTACTGTCATAGTCAGACATTACAGTCGATATGAAAGAAGGGACATTTTTTTAAAGCAGCTTGTATAGCATAGTAGGGCAGCAACAATTGTTTGAACACAACATTATCTGCAACATGTGGATTCATTTAGTGTCAACCAAGACCTCTTGCCACAACCACCTATGATATCGTATTGAAATAGTTGCTAATTTGGATGCAAAACATTTATTAAAAAACTCACTTTATGAAGAATGGACTTTACTTAGTTGCGGAGACATTAATAGCATTGACCTGGTTATTGATACATACCTTGTGTTTCCAGTGAATTCACAAGTGAAATAATGTATGCTTTTAACTTTTAGAATTTGCAGACAAGGAGGATGGATCAGAAGATTCCATGTTGAGTACTGAAGAACTATTACAGTCACATTCAACAGTTATTGATTTGCAGTCTGATCAAACAACTGGCAAAAGAATGTCAGAAGCTGCAAACACTCCTGTTATATTAACTAACCAAATAAATCCTGTGGAACAGCAAAGTATTTCTAATGAGAAGGTGCCAACTAGCACAATGAATGTAACATTTGCACCGTCTATTACAGATCTGACCCCACTGATTGATATTGAACTGAAAGAAACCTCTGATTTGTCTATGATACAAACCACTACATCAGATGCATTGTTTGATAGTGGTACATTTTCCAATTACGAATCTGGGACAGGAACCGAGCAAGAGTTTTTATGGCCCTCGGCTACGGCAGTCCTTCACAACAAGCCAGATAATGGATCACTGGTCAGCAATTCCGTTCAATTCACAAATACGCCAATCTTCGATGACATTACTGTAGATTATCTGACAAATGTACCAAGTGTAACTATAGGGGATTTGACTGATGAACCTTCTGAGATTCTTGTCAGTACAATCATCTCTAATGAAATAGATGTTCCTTTGTTAAGTGAAACAGCTTCATATAGTGATATTGGAGTTGAAATCAAACCTCACATTGCAGAGACAGTAAGTGAAAAAGCCTCTGTTGAACAGTTGCCAGATAATGAATTAGAATTAACAATACAAACATCTGAACCTACAGATGTCTTTAATTACTATTCCAATGACTCAACCTTAAGGGCTCAACCCTTTGCAGAACATGCAACAACACTGGAATCGATTGAAAACTCCTTTGTTGCGGTGCTGCCAGTCACTGAACTATCCACCAAAGGTCAAGCAATAATGGATGCCTTTGTCACAGAGCATCTAGAAACAAAGTCATCTACCCGAGGAACTCCAGCAACTTCTTTCATTAAGGAACAGTTCACAACTGGATCATTTGCCAAGGGGCACATATTAACAGAATTGGACACTACACAGCAAGAAATGTTAGAATCAGCCAACACGGTGCACACAGTAACAAAATCTCTCCCCACAGAAGATATGGTAATAGAACAATCCACAGTGGGTCAGTTGATCCAAGCCTCAACCTCCATAAGACAGTTTATCACAGCATCATCCAACATGCAGCAACTGATGACAGAATCATCGACCATGGCAGCTATCTCTACCTTACCACAAGCAACTACACAATCAACCTTGGTGATGCAGCCCTTTGTAGGTACATTCTCCATAAGCCAACCAAGCTTAGATCCTTCAAATGGAGTCCAATCAAACACAGAACTGTCCAATGATTTACAACCTTTTCCCACAACATTAGTTTCACCAGACACTGAAATCTCCAATGTTATTGTTGCTGAATTGAATAACCCTATGCTACCTAATGCTGCTACAACCACAGTGATGGAACCTACTGCTCAATCAAATATAGTAGTGCAAGGCTTTGGTGAATCGGTTTCAGAGCACAATGTTAACAAATCATCAGCCACTGTTCAAGCATACAGTAAATCTAGTAACAGAATTCATTCTGATGATGAATCCATTAAGAGAATACATACGACAATGTTTCCGGGAGTACAATCTGCCAGTAAGACATCTACAGCAGTGGATATGACGACAGAGTACTTCCCAATAGGCCACCATGATTCAGCTGTTGAGGAGCACAATGAAATACAACCTCCTCAAGAAGTAGCTAGGGATAAACTCGAATGGTCTGAGGTTCAAGATATCTCCGCTGAGCTGGATCCCTCATACATCCTCCAGCATCGTGAAGAATCAGATAATGAAGAAATGGCTAGCATCTACTTAGAATTGCCAGTTGCTGTTCCAACAACAAGAGCCACAGCAAGAGAAAGTCACAGATCTCGACAGGCATTAATAGTCTTCTTCAGCCTACGTGTGACGAATATGATTTTTTCAGATGACTTATTCAATAAAAGTTCACATGAATACAAAGCGCTAGAACAGCAATTCTTGGAATTAGTAAGTTCACTATTTCAAACATAAATTTAAATCACTGAATTACACTTTGTTTGTGATACTTAATAGCAGTGATTACACTTAAAATGTATTCTGTCGTATGCAAAGTGTTTTGACATGTTTTGAGGACAAAATAGTGCTGCATAAATTCTCATTTCCCTTACAAATGGCTAAGCCATATCAAAGCATGTTTGACGCTCAAGAATAATTGTGGAGATCCTGTCAATGATTATTTTCTTTTTGGAGCAGAATTATGCTCTGATATCAATCTTTGTGTCATCTAGTGCCAGATAGGGCATTTCTGCTCCATCTAACTTTTGATGAGCCTCCAATATCAAATAAACCAATTCTATACCTCTTTGTTTACATTAATTTTGATCTTGTACTCATGGTAGATACTATTTGCTACTACAAGATGAGGAGAAATTTCTTCACCCACACAGTGGTGAGCCTTTGGATTTCTCTGGCACAGAAAGTGGTTGAGGCCAAAACACTGAATGTTTTCAAGGAGTTAGATGTAACTCATAGGGCTAAAGACATCAAAGGGTGTGGGACAAAAGTAGAAACAGGGTTTGATGATCAGCCATGATCATATTGACTGGCAGAATAGACTCGGAGGACTGAATGGCCTATTCCTGTTCCTATTTCCTATGTTTCTTTTTCCTCCTAATAACTGATTTAAATTTACATTAACCAGTCTGTTTTATATGTGACAGATAGTCAATTCCCTTTAGCTAACACCAGACTGGGTGGGTTTTATTAGCTAATAACAGGTAAGCTGTCCAAGCATAAGCAAGCAAATCACCAAGAGGGATGAGGTTTCAGGTTGGCCATGTCTCAGTGGAACGACAAGGTGTGTCATTCAAATGTGATTGGCAGTCTCTCAAAGTGAGAACGGGTGGGGTGATTGCATGTTGGGTGGTGAGGCTGTAGATCTGCTCTAGCATCGCCAAGGGTAGCAGGATTTTCAAATGTTGCTGTGGAGATTTTATTGGGGCAACTAAGGGTGGGGGTGATAAGTGCTGGGACATCTTGTTCATGTCTAAAGGACTGTATTCCTGAGATAAACTGTATTTCTGAGCTGGTAAATGCAATACTGTAATATTTAATTAACTGATCATTTTGATTGAGATAAGAATTAATTTCTATGATGTCTCTACTTAATTTTTTGTTCTTAAGAAGATGGAAAATAACACACTAATGGGTATCAGCCAATAAAATTTATTCAGTATGTTTTTGTGGGCTAAATTATGCCCCGAAATAGAAAAGACCTTATTTAAAATTACACTAAAAAATTAAAATCGGATTATGTAAAGTTAAGATTCACTTTTGAGCATGAAAATCCTCAAGAATTGGATCAGCAGCGCATCTTCTGGATGAAACAGTTACATTTATTGCTTGGTAGGTCTTCCAAATTAGGTATTCCCTGTGGACAAGAAAATTCCCAGTTCATGTAGTTAGTCTAGGCTCTTCCAGAACTGAAACTTGGCAACAAATGCTGTGCATTGATTTCAAGAAAATTCTTTCATTTACTAGCTATTTCATATCAAGTAAGTGAAGTTATTGATAACTTAGCAAGCTCTGTGCTGTGTGACACAGTATGGCAAGGTTTGGAAGTGCTAAATGATTTGTAGACCTTTCATGGACGCAGTTTTGCCTTTATAACAATGCGTGTTAACAATACAGAGATCAATATGTTATAAAACAAGAAAGCATGTTTAGGAAAGTTGTTTCTCACTGAATACAGTGATTGATATGCAGCCAATAAACATGGCTCACAATATACTGCTACAATTGCAGATTAGTCAGATACAGTCTCAGAGATCCAACTGTTTTTGAAATAAAGGTCAATTTACACCAATCAACTTAAATCACACAAATCCCAATTGTCCCAGCATCAACAGAAAAGAGCTTTAAAAAGTCATTTGTTCTCCATTGTGCCAAATCTACTTCCTGGGGATTACCATTGACTGGAAACTGAATGAACTACAACAGCAGGTCAGTGGTTAGAAATACTGCAGCAAGTAATTCACTTCATGACTCCCAAAAGCCTGTACCACCATCTACAAGACACAAGTAAGGAGTGTGATGGAATACTCCCCACCTGCCTGGATGTGTGCAGCTCCTACAGCGCTCAAGAAGGTTGACATCATCTAGGATGAAGACGTTCGCCGGAGAGGCACCACATCCACAAACGTTCACTCTTTTTCCATTAACCCTTGGTAGCTGCACTGTGTACCATTCATACTATTCATTACAGTAATCTATCAAGAGTCCTTAGACAGCACCTTCCAAACCCATAACTACTACCATCTAGAAGGATAAGGGCAACAGATACATGAGAACACCACCACTTGCAAGTTCCCCTCCAAGACACTCACTATCTTGACTTGGAAATATATTACTGTTTAGTATTGTTTGGTCAAAATCCTGAAATTCCCACCATAAGGGCATTGTAGATCTGCCTAAAGCACATGTACACTAACCCCATAACCAAACTATTTAGGGTCCACTACCTTCCACCAAACACTCTGAAATTTTGCCTATAATTTTAATTTCTGTTATCTTTCTCAACTAATTTTTAATTCTGTTTTCCCTTACTATTTTTAAAACTATTTCATAGGTTCTAATAATCCCAGTGCGAAAGTCTTTCTTTAAGGCCTTGGATGCTAGACCACCTTTTCCTTCTCAAAGAATTTGATTCGTTTCTTTTTGGAAAATTGTGAAACTTTGGAAAAATAATAGGACAGTAAGCACAAAGTGTAATCAATGTAAATCTTGCGTGTCATGTAATTCAATGTTTTCTGAAGAGTTTTATTTGCTTCTTTTCTAGCTTGTTCCCTACCTTCAGTCTAACCTGACTGATTTCAAGCACCTTGAAATCCTAAACTTCAGAAATGGCAGCATTATTGTTAACAGCCGGATGAAGTTTGCAAAGCCTGTTCCACAGAATGTTACCAATGCAGTTTACCTAATCCTGGATGATTTCTGCAACACAGCATACCAGACTATGAACCTTGCCATTGATAGATTTTCTCTGGATGTCGAATCAGGTAAATAGTTTCTACTGTTAGTTCTTTTTCCTTAAGATTTATTAATGTGTATCCATATGGGTAGGCGATGGCCTAGTGGTATTATCGCTAGACTATTAATCCAGAAACCCAGCTGATGTTCTGGGAACCCAGGTTCGAATCCCCCCACAGCAGATGATGGAATCTGAGTTTAAAAAAAAGTCTGGAATTAAGAATCTACTGATCACCATGAATCCATTGTCGATTGTTGGAAAAACCCATCTGGTTCACTAATGCCCTTCAGGGAAGAAAATCTGCCAGCCTCATCTGGTGTGGCCTCATGTGACTCCAGACCCACATCAATGTGGTTGACTCTTAACTGCCCTCTGAAATGGCCTAGCAAGCCATTGTACCAATTGCTATAAAGTCTCAAAGGAAATTAAACTGGACGGATCACCTGGCATCGAACTAGGCACCGGAAAAAACAACGGCAGACACAGCCCTGTGGACCCTGCAAAGTCCTCCTCACTAACATCTGGAGGCTAGTGCCTAAATTGGGAGAGCTGTCTCACAGACTAGTTAAGCAACAGCCTGACATAGTCATACTCACAGAATCATACCTTACAGACAATGTCCCAGACACCACCATCACCATTCCTGGATATGTCCTGTCCTATTGGCACAGAGGACGTGGCACAGTGGCACACAGAGGGTGTTGCTCTAGGAGTCCTCAACATTGACTGCAGACCCCATGAAGTCTCATGGCTTCAGGTTAAACATGGGCAAGGAAACCTCCTGCTGATTACCACATACTGTCCTCCCTCAGCTGATGAATCAGTACTCCTCAATGTTGAACAACACTTAGAGGAAGCACTGAGGATGGCAAGGGCACAAAATGTACTCTGGATGGGGGATTTCAATGTCCACTACCAAGAGTGGTTCAGCAGCAGTACTACAGGAAGATGGTCATGGTTGTTGGCAGTCAATCATCTCAACTGCAGGACGTCTCTGCAGGACTTCCTCAGTGTAGTGTCCTAGGCCCAACCATCTTCAACTGCTTCATCAATGACCTTCCCTCCATCATAAGGTCACAATTGGGGATGTTCGCCGATGATTGCACAATGTTCAGCACCATTCATGACTTATCAGATACTGAAGCAGCCCATGTTCACGTGCAACAAGATCTGGATGATATCCAGGCTTGGGCTGACAAGTGACAAGTGGCAAGTGACATTCGCGCCACACAAATGCCAGGCTATGACCAGCACCAATAAGAGACAATCTAACTACCATCCCTTGACATTCAATGGTGTTACCATCACTGAATCCCCCACTATCAACATCCTAGAGGTTACCATTGACCAGAAACTCAACTGAACTCACCACATTAACACTGTGGCTACAAGGGCAGGCCAGAAGCTGGGAATACTGTGGCGAGTAACTTACCTCCTGACTCCTCACAGCCTGTCCACCATCTACAAGGCACAAGTCAGGAGTGTGATGGAATACCCCCCACTTGCCTGGATGAGTGCATCCCCAACAACACTCAAGAAGCTTGACACCATCCAGGACAAAGCAGCCCGCTTGATTGGCACTACATCCACAAGTATCCTTTCCCTCCACCACCGATGCTCAGGAGCAGCAGTGTGTACTATCTATAAGATGCACTGCAGAAATTCACCAAAGATCCTCAGACAGCACCTTCCAAACCCACGACCACTTCCATCTAGAAGGACAAGGGCATCTGACATATGGGAACACCACCACCTCCAAGTGCCCCTTCAAGTCACTCATCATCCTGACTTGAAAATATATCACCGTTCCCTCATTGTTGCTGGGTCAAAATCCTGGAATTCCCTCCCTAATAGCATTGTGGGTCAACCCACAGCAATGGTTCAAGAAGGCAGTTCACCACCGCCTTCTCAAGGGCAACTACGGATGGGCAAGAAATGCTGCCCAGCCAGCGACGCCCACATCCCACAAACGAATAGAAAAAAAAACTTCCTGCTTTTGTTGTAACTGTAACTAATTCTGAAGCATGACCAGTAAGCACAGGCTGTGGGAGTGGGTGATACTATCAATGTTTTCATCTATCTTGCTCCTGTGAAGTGCTTTGTGAAGTTGTTTGGCTTGATTTTACGTAACACATCCTGTCAAGTAATGTGTGTGAGGGCAAAAATTTGAACATGAACTATGACGCATTGTTCGATTAAAAAGGAAGTACAGCTTTCATTTTTGCTGGTTGCCATCTATTTCTGCTGCTTATTTTAATTTTTTGTTGTTGACAACTGGATAAGGAATATATAAAATATACATGAAATGGTGTGAACATAAAAAGTAGTGTGATGCTGGTGTGACATCACAACATCAGTCTCAAATATTACACATGACAAACAGGTATGCAAATTGGAAGCCCAACCAGCGTTTTAAATCCTTTATTCGACGAGGGCGTCACTGGCTAGGCAGCATTTATTGCCCATCCCTAATTGCCCAGAGAGCAGTTAAGAGTCAACCACATTGCTGTATGTGTCAAGTCACATGTCGGCCAGACCAGATAAGGATGACAGTTTCCTTCCCTGAAGGACATTAGTGAATCAGATGGGTTTTTCCCGACAATCGACAATGGACAATGGACAATGGATTCATGGTCATCATTAGATTGGTAATTCCAGATATTTATTGAATTCAAATTCCACCATCTGCCATGGCGGGATTCGAGCCCAGATCCTCGGAACATTACCTGGGTCTCTGGATTAACAGTCCAGCGATAATACCATTAGGCCATCGCCTCCCCTCAATCACAAATTAACAAGCTGTTTAACAAGTTAAAAAAGACAATTACATGCAAGTTATAGTTGTCCATTTCATATCTTGGGCGTCAGACAAGAATGCAATTGGGGTTACTATACTGCATGCATAATGAGTTGTACATCCTGATTTGGAAATATATTGCCATTCCTTCACTGTTACTGGGTCAAATCTTGGAATGCCCTCCCTTGGTGAGTTATGGGTCAACCTACAGCATTTACACTGCAGTGGTTGAAGAAGGCAGCTCACCACCAACTTCTCAAGGGCAACTAGGATTGGGCGATAAATGCTGGACAGCCAGTGACGCCCACAGCCAATGAGTGAATTTTTAAAAGAATGACACAAGGGGCAGAAAATGAAAGCTGCTACCCGAACCATGGCTAACTGTAGTAGCAATTTCTGCTGGTGAAGGTGACAGCATCAGTATGATTTTTGAGGTAATCTTTTGACATTTTAAACCCTCATTAAAATGCAAATACAAATTCAATGAGCGGGAGGCTGTTAAATTAGTGATCACGAATAACATCCTGTTTGGACATAAACCTTCAGCTGCGTGACATCCCGGTCTTGAACCCCTATTGGGCAGAGCATCATGTTGCACCTCCAAATGGGAAGCTTCTTGCTGGATGGTCCCTGGTTGGTCATGTGACACTTGCTTCTCCAAACCGAGATGGCAGGGAGGGGGCGGTGTAAGTGGACCATTCACCTTCCACTCCATCTCCCTCTGAAAAGTATAAAATCCAGCCCAATGTGTAGATTAGAAATAAGTAAAAAAAATTATAATGGGAATGAAATTTCACCCACATCGAAGGTTCATCTGTACTGTAATTGACTTCTCCTTGAATGATTCTGAATTCATATTTTCCTAATGTAATTTCATTGAGAACCAAGAGTCATGTTGCTCATTCCACGACCACATGAAGGCCACCAGCAAACCAATTTTCGATTCCATTTGATAATTCAGTGATAATTGTGAGATATAGAAATGTTTTTATTAGTGTAAAAACAGAGCATCTTCTGTATTGACTGACTATGTCATCAATTTGATGAGCAGGACCTTGTTCATGCTAAATGCTAAAGGAGCTGAATTTCAAGGTCCAGCAAACTTGTATAATACAGTAAGTTTACTACAAGTTATTTAGACATCTGCTGTTTTGTACGTGCATTTTGGCCACCCTACGATATCATTAATAGGATTGAAGTAATCTAAATTCTTCTTAATGTTCATACCTAGCATCAGTGCTTGTAATAGTTACAGACTTTAAGAAGATTAACCAAGGTTCAGCAGAGTTCACAAGGATCTGTGAAGATAAAATTGAAGCCAGGTTTTGTTTACAGTTCTCTTGTGAGAATCCCATTCTTTGGGATTAATTGAACATAGACCTGCAGCATTTAGAGACAGCATACAAGGGTTTGTACTTCAAGTAAGACCAGCAACATTTTCAAAAAATCATTAGGAGCAGTTTCTTATTTTTTGCTCCTGGGGAATGCTCAGCTGTTGAATACAGTGAAGATGATATTGACTGGAGACCCCTTGTACGAGGTGTTTGTCCTGAAGTATGCAATTAGTTCTGCACCTAGACTATACACAGCTCCAGCCTAAGTATTCAAATGATGTAGGAGAAGATAATATTGCCCGGCTCCTTCCTCAATTTTCTCATCAGTCTTGGGTACCAAGTGGAAGGGAACAGGTAGAAATCAGGTGATGGGTTTTATGCCAAGATCCTAGTTGTTATATAAGGAAATGGTTGCGAAAGAGTTAATGTTGAATTTGCATTAATCTTCACCCAATCTAAGGATGATCACAGTCTTTGTTTTCAAAATCAGCCAGTCATGTATGATGTCTGGTGGAGACAGACATGTCACTTCTGACTCCCTGATCATTGTAATTAAGCTTCACTAGTCGTGGACAGAAAGGTCTATTGCTGTGCAGTATAGTTCTACATTCTATGTTCTAGTCAATGTTATTTGTACCTATTACTGTCATGCAACAACCTGCACCTTGTTGTGTAAGACTCTTTATTTTGCCATTTTTTTGTTAAAATCCACCACTAACAATTAGACAGGCCTTTGGAATTAGCACAGAAAAAAGGGTTGCCGGCAGTGAACTACCCCAAATACAAATTGCCAATGGTCACTACCCAGAGCCGAATACATCACTGATGAAGCAATAGTTAGAGAGCCCAAAAACTGATGTGTGCTTTAGGTTCTGCACCTCATTCCCCTGATTCCAG